AGAAGAAGTTCACAGAAGTTCTTGAAGGATTTTTGCAAGCAGGGTGAAGTCACCTGTGTAGCTGCCTGTGATTCCAGATAACCACTCCAGGCAAGTGGAAAACCCAGGAAGCAGCATAAAGCGCTTGGTGTCTGTCACTGAGCAGCAGGTCTCAGCACTGGTGTCACATCCCACCATGGCCAGCACATGTCCTGCTGGGGCCTGGGCTCCCCCTGCTTTGGAACATACCTCCTGCTCTTCCAGGCAGAAACCGGGCCAATACTGACCTTCTGGGCTTGGTCAAATTGTTAAACCACCTGCCTGAATTTAGATTTCCCAGAGAGGGAAACCAGCAAGACAGAAAAAGTTTTCAGCTCCAACCAAAACAGAAACTTTCTGAGGATTTGACAGAATACAAACGTGAAAGACTTATGTCAATATGAGACATTCCTTTCAACTCAGAAAAATGGTCTTTGTTTTACCTTCTCTTGCTTAACACCCTTGAAGTCTTTTCTCAATTTTTCATTTTAGTCAGAAAATATTATAAGCCAGAAGAGATTTTTTTGAAGCTAAAACATCTGAAACAATTAATTTTAGTATCTGCAACCCTCTAGTACAAGTGGTTTCCAGGTTCTCCCACCTCCTTTGCATCCATCAGTCTCTGTTGTTCCTTTTTGTCCCAACCAGCCAAGGAGTGAGGTTGTGTTAGTTCTGTAATAATGGTATTAGTGCTTGCTTAAAAATGTTGTGCAAAAGTGTTTCGCTGTTGTTAAATCCATTCTCTTTTTTTGTAGTTGCTTTAGATTTTCTCCTGGCTTTCCAAAACAGATTTTCAACATTCAAAAATTAAAAAGACAGCTTGCTGCCTTTTTTTTTTTTTTTCCCCTGGAAAGAAGAAGCTTTAAATTTAAAAATATGTATCTTTCAAGATAAAAGTTTGAAGCTGAGAAAATTGAGAGGAAAATCATGTTAGATCAAGTGAAGATGAAAGCCTTTAATGACTTGTTTGGTCAGTAAGTTAAAATTTGAACAGCTGCCCTAATAAAGCATCAGAATACCTGACTCTTTCACAGCAACTGTCATGCCGTGAACCTTTCCTCACAAAATCTCTTGCCCACACACATCCCCAAAGAAGTCATCTTTCAAGATGAGACAGCTGCTCGTAGTTCAGGCTGGGCAGGGGGAAAACTGAAACATTAAAAAAGGAAAGACAGATTATACCTATCTTAAATCACTCAAAACCTCTTCTAGATAAATTCTATATGCATTGACCTTGAAGTGACATTTTGCCAAAGCCAGTGAAATCTGATCCCAGGGTGTGTGACGCTTTTTCCCTGTTTCATCATTTTATAATTGTATTTGGCAACTGTTGCATCCATGCTGGGAGGCAAAGTGAGCTCAGCACAAAACGGTGCAGCCACGAGGTGGCTGTCAAGCTGGAAGCTCCTGGTGATGGCGTGGTGACGCTTTCTCTTGGGAAGTTACTCAGCAGGAGTGAATACAGGGAGTGAAAGGGGAGTCTCTGACTCTGTCCAGCCTCTCTCCGCAGCACTGCTCCTGTGTGCTGGTCATGATGACATTGGGTGAGCATCACAACAGGGCCTGCGCAGAGGAGTGGTTGTGAAACTGCTGCCAGGGCTGTGCTGGTCCTCGAGCAGAGCCGAGCCACAGCAAAGGCAAAAAATCCAGTCTCTCCATGTCCGAGATGAAAATAAGTGTCATCATGTCATGCCCCCCAGATCTTGTCCTGGGAATTGGAGCACTTGTGAAAACACCCCAGGTGAAATTGGTTGCCTGTGTTTATCACATGTGGCCTGTCTTGTGTTTGGTTCAGGCAGGCTGAGGTTCCAGGTGTCCCAGGTGCCACAGGGTCTGGTGAGGACCTGGCCGTGGGACTGAGGCAGTCTCTGGGCTGCCTGTGCCCCGTGCTGCTCCTGAACCCACAGCACGAGCAGCCTGTGGTGCTGCCTGCAGAGCTTCCACTTACAGCACAGGGGAAATGGAACAGGCAAATTATGCCCAAGTTCATCATGAAAATTGTAACTTTGTGCAGTAAATAGAGGCAACACCTAAATGGGCAAATTAAATGAAACTGGGGTTTATTTCAGCATTTATTTAGTTTTCTTCATGTTCCCTAGCCAGGTTTTATCCTGAGGTGCACGTGTGCCTGTGTTGCATGTTCTGCAGTCATAGCGATTCGGCTCCGGTAATATTTGATGTTGTGAGTTATTACCTTAAGCTTAGCAAACTGTTCATGTGGGTGTGGGTTTCGGGGGGTTCCTAGGTTCTTGTAAATGCTCCTGTTGCCTGGCATTGGGAGGTCAGCAGCCAGCAGGAAGTGGGAGAACGTGCCCATGTGCTCTGGGCGGTGGGAGGCAGAGGGTGCGTTGGGCTGGGAAGCAGGAGGGGAGGCAGGGCTGCAGTGGCTTGGGCCAGCTTCCCTCCCAGTTCCACCCGGGGGAGGGAGCCTCGTGCTGTGGGTGACACTGGCAGTGGTGCAGAGGAGCCTGGCTACCAGCCGGTGCTCATCTCTATTGCCTCACACCCCGCTCCCTAGAAACAGGATTACTGAAGGCAGTGCCAGTGATTTTTTTACTTTGTGTTTTCACTCCTACCACTTCTTAAAAGACAGAAGAATAAAGCAGAATTAAGGAAGCACAGACTGAGGTGTAGTGGGAGACACATCCTGCTGTTGTTGGGTGCTGTAAAGAAGCATTGTTTCTTTCAGTTCTCTGGGAGCAGACACCAGGCTTCCAAAGAGGACTTGAGTTGAATCTATTTTGCTATAATACTTGGGGTTTTGTCTAGTTTTCACAGCCAACATGGGGAACATGGACCTGAGTGAGTGAGCTATTATATTTTCAAGGTTTTCATTACCTCCAAGTCCACATAATGAATGATTTTTATGTCATTTTGGCATTGGAAGCAATCTCTCCACCAGTTGTACTAGTACTGCCTTTGTGAGTACTGCTGTTCTGGTATTGCCTCTGCTGGGCTTTCACTGACCGGAGAAAAATGCCCAGATTAAACAGTTCTGAAGGTGTTGGGGGGTTTTGGTGGTTTGTTTGGTTTGGGGCTTTTGTTTGTTTGGTTTGGTTTGTTGTTGGGTTTTTATTTATTTATTTGAGTAAGCCAAAATCCTCTACTGGGCAGAGAATCATACATACACAACCTTATAATCATTTCTTCCCAGTATACTGTACTGATGAAGCCGGTAACCTCTGATGAAAGCTCCTGCACTATAAAAGCAATTGTATTACCTGATACACTGAATGGTACAAAGTGCTTCTGTTATATTCGGCTCTGGGCACTGATGTCACCTTTTTCTTGCCCATGAGTACTTTGGTGTGCCACGCTTGTGGCTCTTAGGTACTTAGAGATCCCTCTTTCAGTGCCTTGCAGTCTTTGATGTATTTATTATCTTCACAACCATCCTCTGAAGGAGGAAAACAAGATTTTCCTTGTTTTGCAAAGAATTAGCAGAGTTGCAAAGAAAAGGAGACTGTGTTATTGGCTCAGGTCTGTGGTAACAGCAGCAGCAATAAATTTATCCGAGATGGGTTCTTTCAGCTGCCTTCACTAGACAGTGAATCTGGGCAGTAGCCCAGACTGCAGTGCACATTTCACTGCTGTTAACGGAAGACGTAACAGGGTCCCTCCAAAAAAGGCTTTTTACTACGTAAGAGGTCTCCATCCATCAGTCAGTCATCAAAATAAACAGAATATGGCTTGGTGGGTTTTTTTAAGTGCTAACAAGTGCAAAGCCTTGTTAGGAATCCAGATGTTGGTCAGATATTAGAATGTATTTTGTTTTGAAAAGTATCCTTTCTGCATAGGAATGCTCTGCATTTTTGCCACTTGTATGTTCAGGTGGTTTTCCTGGCTCTGTATCAGCAAAAAAGTTCTCCTTGCCTGGAGCCCTGCTGTCCTGTGGCCCAGCACCAGAGCTGTACAAATAGCTGAACAGGCAGAGTGTCCTCCGGGCTGGGCTGAACCACCACAGGAAGAACCAAACTCAAGCACAAAATTCCTGATTTTTGGGCTGCTAGGGAAGAGCCAGGATTAAAGTTGTGGTCCTGACTGCTGTGCATGGTGAGAAAGGCACTGAATCCAAGGCTGGCACTGAGGCATAGGCACTAAACGTCTGCATAGTTGTTCCCAAAGTGCAGCAGTATAATGAAGAGGAAGACTTGTATCATGCTTGCAGTGGCAGCACACATGCTGTGTGGCCGAACACCATCTGTACACTCAAGCCAAGAGTGCAATGGATGCAGCACCAAAAAACACAAACAGAGCAGGGCACAGGTAAGAGCTGCCCACTGTGCCACTGGCTCCAAGGCCAGAACAAGCCCGTGGGAGTCTCGGGCCAGATGCCAAGATTTGGTTCCACTCCCAGAAAAGTCAACGAAACCCATTTAGAGTGGAATGATTTCATCCTGTACTGTGTGCTGAGTGACTTGCCAACACTGCTATTAATAGCATGGCTTTATCCCAGGTACAAGCTAATGGAGCGCAGAGCTACAGCACTTTGGTGTAGCTGATTAGTGGAGCTCTGGACTAAAAGATCCTGAGTCTGTCATATGTGGGCAGGATCTTGCTTGGCATCACAGTCTGACTACCTCTAGGAACTACCTAAACATGTTAAATCCCTTCCCATGGTGCCCTTCTCAACACCAGCTAATTCCCAACCCACACTGAAAGCAGAAAAGCCCTGTCTAAAATAAAGTGGCAGCTACAGTTTGGTGACCTTGTCAAGGACTTGAGGACCTGAGTTGTCACTAGTGTATTTCATGTGAAAGTATTAAGACAGGATGGTGCTGAAAAATGACACAAGCTAGAAAAAAGGGCAGGAGGCACTGTGTGTCAGGAATGTTAAACATCATGCAGTGTGCAGTTCTGACTCTGCAGGATTTCTTTTCCCTGTCTCCTTCCCTTAAAATAGTTTTTCTTAAACCACCAAACTTTGCCTTTCTTTTCCACTTCACAGACCAGCAGAGCAAATACAGAAATCACCTCCAGAGATGTCCTGCAGCTATTTTTGCTTCTTCAGTCTGTGTCTTTTCCTTCCAACCCAAAGGTAAGTGGAGTGTTTGTTTTGTTTTCCAGGGAATGTCTGAATTATGCTGCATATAAATAATGTGGGTCAAAAGGAAACTATGCTTCCAATTATCGAGCCCACCCAAAGAAAGCTGGGGGCAGTAAGGGATGTGGGACAGAAGAGAGTAACCTGCATAGGTCCCCAAAGCACAGTATGTCCATGAGCAGGGCCACACCTTATCCCCCGTCCTGGAACAGAATGGTTTGCAGTTGTTGCTGGAAATGCCCCCCCACAAGGCTCCCAACTTGTGCCTTCACCAGCCCTGCAACTACAAGTCCTAAATTCCTTGAATGGTTGATGTTTCTGCTGTCCACAAAGTGGTTTGTTTCTCCTGTAAGGTCCTTCTTGGTATAAAACATGCAGCAAAGCTCCGAGGAGTAATAACCCATCTTTAAGGGGAACAGAATGAGGGCAAAGATGAGAGCTCTGAGTAACTCCATTGCCGTGTTTCTTGCTGCGCAGAGCAGCAGTGCCAAGGCCCTGGGGGGTGGCAGCAGCACTGCCTTCCTCCTGCGGCCCTTCACAAAGCAAGGATTCCCTCATTGGCGTTTTCACCAAGGGAAAATGCACAGGGACACTGCACCATAAACCATGCGTTCTACAGCCCACACCCTGTCTCTCCAGCTGTCTGTATGATCATACAGATCTGTCAGCCTCCAAACATCAGGAACTGGCTTTGTTGTCCATCCACAGAACATTAATTCTGATGCTGTAAAACAGAGTCGGACCCTTAAAGCTTTGTTGGTGTCTGCGAAGTGCTCAGTACTCCACCTTCACCCTTCCAGTGTACTCGGAGGTTTTACTCCTGACATCTGAGAACAAAAGCTCCTTTAAAGGACTAGTGATGAGGGAGGAGGAGCTGTTGGTCAGTGAGATCTGTCTCTGGTTTTCCTAAGCAGGAGGAAAAAAAATTCATGTTCCTTACATAGACTGTACAAGAAGGAGTGGGAAGGGTGAGATGGTGGCTTATCATTAAGACTTGTGATATATAGATCTTGTTTGATTTGTCTTCGGCATTTTAAGAATGTCCTTAAGCTTCTGTGTGTGCAAACCTGGGGTTATCATCTGAGGTAACTTGCCATTTTTCCATCTCTTCAAGGTGCCAGTTATTCAGCCAAGACAAGCAATGTGAGCATGTGCTCATGATTTCAATCATCCACTTATTCTTAACAAGCTTGTTATGCAGCTTGTTTGGGCATAAGCTGGGAGCACAGCTGCACACCAGCTGTGCCCAGCACGCCCGACCACACGTAACAGTACCAACCTGTGTCCCCAGGAGCTGCTCCATGGGCCTCGCACCCGACCTGCGCGGCGGCACCGCGTCCCTCCCGGGATTCGAGAACCTCACCGTGGGGTACAACAAATACCTCAGGCCCTACTTTGGTGGTATGTTGGCTCCACGTGTTTGTCCATCTGAAGGGCAGTCTGTAAGGCCAGTGTGGAGGGCAGAGCATGCTTCCAGCCTTCTTCAGGATGCCCCAGCTTAAAAAAGTTGTGGGCCTTTTAAATTAGCTAGTAGCCAAGACTGCCCTCCTTTCTGTGTGTCCACCATTGGCGTCAGTGGGTGGTGCATGCGTGTGTGGGGCTCATGAGAACACATCCATCTGTGAGGTTAAGAACAAGGAATTTATAAACTTCAATACTTCTATGAAAGACCTGGCAGAGTAACTGAATTCTGCTCTACCTGTACCTGGTTTTGTTCAGAGGCTCACCCGTGTAATTTTCTGCTTTAGCTTTGTTCACGTGTATGTCTTTAGCAGCTTGCAGCTAGAGAGGCATAAAGTCATTTGCCTTGCCAGAGATACTGACTTGTGACATATGCTTTCACTTCACACTGGGACAGAAAGTAAACCTTCTTTAAACCCTCTTGAAGCTCTAGGGAGTAGGGAGCACCTGAAGGACAGTCAGGAATCCACCTAAGGCTATTGTCCAATTTGGGGAGCAGGCCTCCCACCTTCCAGGTGAGTGCTGTCACCTCTCAGAGGAAAGGGGTTTTCAGAATGACAGTCAGCACCAGAAAAATATGATGAAAGTTTTAAAAAAGAGCTTTTTTTAATTTTCATTTGTATTAATTTTGCTTTTCTGCCAGAACCCATTAATGAAACTATGCTCAACAGAAAACTTCCCCATTAGCTTTCACCAGGACTCAGATGTTTCGCTCTGTAGCTCCTGCAGGCTGACCTTCTGCTGCTGGCAGCTTTCAGCTTCTTCCTTTTTCTGACCACAGTGATAAATTTCTGGGACAATACAGAATTTACCAGCTTGTTAGGTCTAGAATGTCTGATCTCATGCAGAAAATTAAAAACTACTCTAGATCCTGTCACATCAGTGAACAGATGCTTCTGAATTATGTAAAGGAGAGGAACTGCATCTGCACCAGCCTATGCCTTCCAGAGCCATAAACGTTAAATAAGACTCAGGTTTGATCTCCTCCAGAGGCCCTGAGTCTTCACAATCTACCTTCTGGCCATTAATATGAGTGTCTGAGTATCTAAAAACAAGATGGAAGATGTGAGTGACAGCTACTTTAAAAAATTGCAAGTGAAATACATTTTGCATTTTGGAACAGTTTAAAACAAACAAAAACCCCACAACTGTCTGGAGGGAGATTCAAAAATCGTGTCCCATAGATTTTTCCTAAACGTGATCGAAGGCGTTTCGGCAAGTCACGCAAGGCAAGGCATTACTGTGTGGCCGCACAGACGCCCGCTGGGAGCCCCAAGCTGCTGCCGGGGCTCAGACCAGGCGCTCCACCGAAGGGCAGGGCTGTCGCTGCTCTGCGGCGATGCCTCCTGCGGAGCCGGCTGTGCCCCCACGGCAAGGGCCGCCGGACTCCTCCCAT